CCTAAGGGGTTAATCCTCTGCATTGTGTAAAAAAGACTGTTTGATCCTGTCTTCTCTGATCCTTCCCTTCTACTGTCCCCAATCCATCTGCTGATAGAACAGAGCTCTAGGAGGGCACTCTGCACATGCTTAGTTTAGTGTGTATTGCTAGAGAATTTTTCTTTCTTTGGGAGAGTGCATGTGACCAGCACAGGGCCAATCAGCACTGTCCAGAAAGAGGGTCAGGGGTTATATAGCCTCATAGGACAGTCAGAGCAGAATTAAAACTCCTCCTTGGGGGCAAGCTGCACATGCTTAGTTTGGTGTGTATTGCTAGTTTTTTTCTTCTCTTGGGAGGGTGCGTGTGATGAGCACAGGGCCGATCAGCACTGTCCAGACAGAGGGTCAAGCTTTAGTTAGTGCTGGACACTGATAGAAGTCACAAGACTGCTGTAACTGCTGATGAGAAAAGGTAGTTAGCAGTTTATATTTACTAAAATAATTTCATTTCCATGTTCTGTGTACTGTGGGAGACCAGATATAGTGAATGCAGGGTCCGGGGAGACCAGATATAGTGAATGCAGGGTCCAGGGAGAGCGGATATAGTGAATGCAGGGTCCGGGGAGACCAGATATAGTGAATGCGGGGTCCGGGGAGAGCGGATATAGTGAATGCAGGGTCCGGGGAGAGCGGATATAGTGAATGCAGGGTCCGGGGAGACCGGATATAGTGAATGAAGGGTCCGGGAAGACCAGATATAGTGAATGCAGGGTCCTGGGAGACTGGATATAGTGAATGAAGGGTCCAGGAAGACCGGATATTGTGAATGCAGGGTCTGGGGAGACTGGATATAGTGAATGCAGGGTCCGGGGAGACTGGATATAGTGAATGCAGGGTCCTGGGTTTTGTAAGGAACAGGAATGGTCAGCACTCAGGATGGAATCCAACTGTATACTTTTTTATTATAAAGGCGTGTACATAGCTAAAATTTCCAAACGTGTTTTGGACAATCATTCCTTAGTCATTGTCCGAAACGCGTTGAAAAAAATGTTGAAAAAAGGTCATACTTCCTGGCCTGGACCCTCATCCCCCGCCAGGTGCCCACTATAGCAAGACACTTGCTATGAGGGGCACTTGCTCCTGAGCCAGCTCTGTGTGTCTATTAAACACACAGAGCAGGGCAGCCCCGCCACCGCTCCATCCTCACTGGCTGTGATTGACAGCAGTGCAAGCCAATGGCTCCTGCTTCTGTGTCTGAGCCAATGAGGAGGCAGTGAGTGGAGAGCGATTGGCTCAGGTAAGTATAAGAGGAGTTGCATGCAGAAGGTTTTTTAGAGAGATGCATTAAAGGTAAAAACTTTCTGCCTTCAGAACCGTTTTCTCTATTGTTTCCTCGGTCCCCTGGAGCAGTGTACTGGTTGGACACGCTAGATCCAGGGGACCCTGGCGGCCATCTTGGGTCATGCAGAGTCTTTTTAAATCCTCAAATCCCTACCTCCGGGTTTTGGCGCACTTTTATGTGAGTGGCTAGTGTAGGGAGCCCGGAGCCGATGATTCAGGCAATAAGCTCTTACAAAAATTGTGGTGGACATTTCGCTCAGTTTCTGATGTCTTATAAATAGACCCCCCTTTGGAGCGAGAGACAGCCAAGCGATTTAGAAGTGATGATTTGCACATTTGTATTTTTGTTTTTTCAGGAGCAGAATTTTTTGGTTTTGGCCCCATGGGCTTTTAAATAGGAGTGCTGGAAAAACGTGACATATGTTTTCAGGCACTCCTATTAATGTCCAGGGGGCCTAAAAGATGCAATTCTGCCCCAAAGGAGCTCATGTACTTTTTTCAAGCCTCCAGCAACAGGCATTAGACAACATAACTCTCAGGTGTGAACAGACCCATTGAGAATAATGGGATTCTTCATCTTGAGCATTGTCGTGCTTCAGGAATTGGGTGACAACACGCTCAGATGTGAATATCTGAGGCAGGATCTGTAAACTACATTCTGCTGCTGGATTATTTCCGCGGCCCGCAGCCAGGGTCAGGGGTGTATCCATATTGTACACAAACTGATTGAGGTTAGCAAAAGCTGCTTGTGGTCTCCAACTCAACTCTGCCCATGTAATGGAGGACTGTGATGGGGATTCTGGTGTAAGGGGGACTCTGATGTAAGGAGGGGGGCTTTGATAAGGGCCCTGATTTAAGGGCACTCTGATGGGAGACTCTTATGTAAGGAGGACTATGATGGGGATTGATGGGGACACTGATATACTGGGGGGCTCTGGTGGGAAATCTGATGGGACCCTGATATAAGGGGCACTCTGATAGGTACCCTGATGTAAGGGGAAATTCTGATCTGAATCTGAGCGGCTCTGACAGGGACTCTGATGTAAGGGGGACCCTGATGTAAGAAGGGCTCTAATTGGGACTCTGATTTAAGAGGGATCTAATAGTACCCTGATGTACAGGAGCACTCTGATAGGTACCCTGATGGAAGGAGAAATCTGATGGGGACCCTGATATGGGTGGGGGGGGGAAGGCTCTGATCAGGGCCCTGATGTAAGAGGGCTCTGATGGGAACCCTGATGTAAAGGGCTGTGATGATAGCCTGGTGTAATGGGAAATCTGATGGTGACCCTAATATGGGGGGGGGGCTCTGATGTGGACCCTTAAAAGGGGCCTTGACAGGAATTGCCGATGTAAGGGGGACTCTGATGGGTACCCTGATGTAAGGAGAAATCTGATGAGGACCCTGATATATGGGGGGGGGGGGGGGTCTGATATGGACCTTGATGTAAGAGGGGCTCTGATGGCAACCCTGCTAAAGGATGGGCTCTGATGGGAACCCTGATGTAAGAGGGGCTCTGATGGGGACCCCTGATGTAAGGAGTACTCAAATGGGGACCCTACTGTAAAAGGGGCTTTGATGATTTAAGGGAACTCTGATGGGAACACTGATGTAATGGGGGCTCTGATGTAAGGGGCACTCAGGGACTTTCATGGGGATCCTACTGTAAAAGGGGCTTTGATGGGGATCCTGATGTATGTGGGGGCTCTGATGTATGGGTGCTGTCAGGGACTTTCATGGGGACCCTACTGTAAAAGGGGCTTTGATGGGATCCTGATGTAGTGGGGGCTCTGATGTATGGGGCTCTCAGGGACTTTCATGGGAACCTACTGTAAAAGGGGCTTTGATGGGGATCCTGATGTAGTGGGGGCTCTGATGTAAGGGGCTCTCAGGATTTTCATGGGGACCCTACTGTAAAAGGGGCTTTTGATGGGGATCCTGATGTATGGGGGCTCTGATGTAAGGGCACTCAGGGGCTTTCATGGGGACCTTACTGTAAAAGGGGCTTTGATGAGGATCCTGATGTAGTGTGGGGGCTCTGATGTAAGGGGCACTCAGGGACTTTCATGCGGACCCTACTGTAAAAAGGGGCTTTGATGGGATCCTGATGTAGTGGGGGCTCTGATTTGTAAGGGGCACTCAGGGACTTTCATGGGACCCTACTGTAAAAGGGGCTTTGATGGGGATCCTGATGTAGTGGTGGGGCTCTGATGTAAGGGGCACTCATGGGCTTTCAAAGGGACCCTACTGTAAAGGGGCTTTCATGGGATCCTGATGTAAAGGGCACTCAGGGACTTTCATGGGGACCCTACTGTAAAAGGGGCTTTGATGGGGATCCTGATGTAGTGGGGGGCTCTGATGTATGGGGCTCTCAGGGGCTTTTCATGGGGACCCTACTGTAAAAGGGCTTTGATGATGGGATCCTGATGGAGTAGTGGGGCTCTGATGTAAGGGGCACTCAGGGGCTTTCATGGGACCTTACTGTAAAAGGGGCTTTGATGAGGATCCTGATGTAGTGGGGCCTCTGATGTAAGGGGCACTCAGGGACTTTCATGGGACCCTACTGTAAAAGGGGCTTTGATGGGGATCCTGATGTAGTGGGGGCTCTGATGTAAGGGGCACTCAGCCCTACTGTAAAAGGGGCTTTCATGGGGATCCTGATGTAAGGGGCTCACTCAGGGACTTTCATGGGGACCCTACTGTAAAAGGGGCTTTGATGGGGATCCTGATGTAGTGGGGGCTCTGATGTATGGGGCACTCAGGGACTTTCATGGGGATCCTACTGTAAAAGGGGCTTTGATGAGGATCCTGATGTAGTGGGGGCTCTGATGTAAGGGGCTCTCAGGGGCTTTCATGGGGACCCTACTGTAAAGGGGCTTTGATGGGGATCCTGATGTAGTGGGGGCTCTGATGTAAGGGGCACTCATGGGCTTTCAAAGGGACCCTACTGTAAAAGGGGCTTTCATGGGGATCCTGATGTAAGGGGCACTCAGGGACTTTCATGGGGACCCTACTGTAAAAGGGGCTTTGATGGGGATCCTGATGTAGTGGGGGCTCTGATTTAAGGGGCACTCAGGTACTTTCATGGGGACCCTGATGTAAAGAGGACTCTGATGATGATAAGCTCAGTGCTAACAACCCAGCAGGGGCGGACTGACAACTCATGGGGCCCCCGGACAATAGGGGATCATGGGGCCCTTGTGTCCTTGCCCACACTCAAAAAAAGATTAAAAAGATACCAGGGGCATTTCATGGGGCCCCCTACTGACCCCGGGCCCTCGGGCAGTGCCCGAGTGCTCGAATGGTCAGTCCACCCCTGCAACCCATCCTTGTGAAAATCAAACCTGTTCAGACCGGTTGCTGCCATACAGGTTCATAGGCACAATCAGCAATGTCAGACGATGATAAATATCATGACCAATGGCAGAATTACCTAGCGGGGCACCCATGTGGACGGATGCAAATCCGAGCCATTCAATCATTAGGCCGTGTCCCCTTTCTGTTTCAATACAGAATGGCGTGTGGGTGGACTGCCCCTTTAATTGCACAGTAGCCCTCAAAGCCGCCGTCTCAGCTGTGTGTAGCCTGTTCTCGCATGCAATGTTTGCTTATGACCTACAATAAGACATTTCCAGCCGGATGGCACTATACTAACCCTCCCTTACTTGTCTTTGAGCAGATGACGGCCACCGCTCAGCAGACCGCCAAGGCCCAGCCAGTCCATCTCCCAGCATCCTCTGCGGCAGCTAACCCTGTCCCCGGTGCTCCAATTGACCCTCAGGCGCAGCTGGAAGCTGACAAGCGTGCTGTCTACAGGTACTTGAAAGATCTTCTTGCAGACTCTGTAAAATGCTAATGTGCAGCTCCACAGTGATGTGCCAAAGTACAGTGCGAATCCAGCCTGGGGCTGACTTGTCAGCATGATTCTCGTGTTAGCAGCACTTGTCATCGCCTCTTCTTCTCTGTTCTGTTTCCCCAACAACATGACTTTAAAATGAGATTAAAGTCAGAGCTCAGATCAGCGAACGTGGTAGGTGCTGATGATGCTGAACATTAACGAGGAGGGACGGCGAACGCGCCGGATACGCCAGACTGAAGCTGTATATTGGTGAACAATAGGTCTGCAGACAGCGAGGTGCACGTTGGTGAATTAGGACAATATTTGCTATTTGGAGCGGTCATGTTGTTGGCTGATTATATATCCGGAGCGTGCCCGGCGTCCTCCACTGAACGGTTAAATGCCAAATTAAAGCGCTACTAAACCCACAACAGTACAATCAGTCTGTAGATGCAGTAAAGCATGCTTGTTATACTCACTGTGGACCCTAAGGGGTTAATCCTCCGCATTGTGTAAAAAGGCTGTTTGATCCTGTCTTCTCTGATCCTTCCCTTCTACTGTCCCCAATCCATCTGCTGATAGAACAGAGCTCTAGGAGGCACTCTGCACATGCTTATTCTTCCCCTTCTTTTACTGTCCCCAATCCATCTAGTACATTGTAGTGATGGGCTGAACATCCCCCTGTTCGGTTCACGGTCGACATTCAAACCTACTGAAAGTTCGATTGCGAACTTCAAACAGGGACAATTTACAGAGCGGATCTGAGTATGTGGTAAGATACCGCTCAGTTACTAAAATCCGGCATGAGTTATAGTATTGAGTCATGTGGTATTTTAGTAGTAAAACGTTCATTTATATTTCAGTTGTCAGTGGGGTTCCCAGGTGACAGCTGAATGTCAAAAGAATTGTCGGCATTGCCCCTGGTATGGATTTTGAGGGGAAACCCCCCACACACCAAAATTTAAGAAAAAAATGGCATGGGGTCCCCCCTCCCATCCATACCAAGCCCTTCGGGTCTGGTATGGATTTTGAGGGGAACCCCCCCCCCCCCACACCAAAATTTAAGAAAAAACAACATGAGGTCCCCCCCTCCCATCCATACCAAGCCCTTCGGGTCTGGTATGGATTTTGAGGGGAACCCCCCCACACCACAATTTAAGAAAAACAGCATGGGGTCCCCCCTCCCATCCATACCAAGCCCTTCGAGTCTGGTATGGATTTTGAGGGGACCCCCCCCCCCCACACACCAAAATTTTAGAGAAAAACAGCATGGGGTCCCCCCTCCCATTCATACCAAGCCCTTCGAGTCTGGTATGGATTTTGAGGGGAACCCCCCCCCACACCAAAATTTAAGAAAAAACAGCATGGCGTCCCCCCTCCCATCTATACCAAGCCCTTCGGGTCTGGTATGGATTTTGAGGGGAAACCCCCACACCGAAATTTAAGAAAAAAATGGTGTGGGGGTTTCCCCCAAAATCCATACCAGACCTATATCCAAACATGCAGCCCAGCAGGTCAGGAAAGAAAGGGTACAAGCAAGTGCCCCCCCCCCCCTCCTGAACCATACCAGGCCACATGCCCTCAACATGGGAGTGTGCTTCGGGGCAGGGGGGTTCCCCCCAAAGCCCCTTATCCTTATGTTGATGGGGACAAGGGTCTCTTCCCCACAACCCTGGCCAGTGTTTGTGGGGGTCTACGGGCAAAGGGGCCCCCAAATTCCACTGAAAGAGTATGCGGTACATGGTACAAAAAAAAAAGTGTAATTTAAAAAAAGACAGGAGGCAGTCTTTGACAAGTCCTTTATTGAAAATAAAAAAAAATGTCCCCGAAGTAGATCCAACATCAATAATGGTGCCCTCCACCACCATTGACCTGAAAAAAGCACCCTCGACGCCGGTTCCGCCGCCTGACACCGCGATGACAGTTCTTAAATAAGGTGATGATGTCACAAGGGGGCAGGATCACCCTCGCCCCCTTGTGACATTATGCTCTGTGATTGGCCAAAGCATCGCACCTGACCACAGGTTCAAGCTCAGGCGACCTTAGTCATACGTTCATGGAAAATCTCAATACATAAAAGTCCACTGCTTTCGGCTCAGAGAGGAACCTGCCTGCCCCCAACTTGTGTGCACCCAGGAGGCCCCAGGTCAACTTTTACATCAAGTCCCACAAGCATCAAGCTACACCTCTGTTTTAGCAAAGTTCAATTTAACAAACCATTTGGTAGAAAAGAAAAAGTTACATAAAATTCAAAGCAGCAGAGCATGTCCTCGAATTTGACATTGCCTATATCATTCTCAGCTGACTTGACTGTATTTGATGGATGACGCTGCTTGAGTCCAGGTCCGCTTTAAGTGCCAATTTAGGAATTTATCTTGGATTTCATCAAGGGAGTTATTAGTAAGTTATCCTACGCTTCAGAGAGGGAGGTAAAAAGTTGGATTGTCAGTAAGCAAACAACCATCAGCAGACATTTCCTGTCCCTGGTACCTTGTCTGTCTGGATCTGTCCGTGTAAACCACGTGACTCCCGAAGATGTCACCCCACCAGGGCTTAATCAAGCAACGAATGCTAATACTATGCAGATTCCTCCCGGCTCTGGCTGCTGCTACGAGAGGATGGAGAAAGACAAGGAGGATCGCTCCTTTTTTATTCTTTTTTTTTCCCTTTAGTTTTTTTTTTTTTAATTAAAATTTCTTGCCTCTGGGTAGCATGACAGTTCAAAACCACAGTGGGGATTTTTTCATTTCATGTCAATAAATTTAACAAGGCCCCATTCAATTCAAATTAACACACGGTCTCCAAGGCTTTCATGCTCCATAGTATCGGCACAGATAAAAAGGAAACAATTTTGCGGCCTAATTGAATACTCAAAATAAATGTAAATAAAAAAAAAAACTTGGTCTTAGTAGCAAAATCCAATGTTTTCTGAAATTGCTAAGGAGACCCTGAGCCAGTCAACGTGCAGCTTTCCAAATTTGGCTCCTGACGATGTGGCTTGGGGACTGACGGCCATCTTGGTAAAGGGAGCACCATTCTCGTGTATGATTACTTGGCATGCTAGACCATTCCTCTACTTCCATTCAGTGGTAGAACCCCACCTGCCAGGCTTCGGCAGGAAAACCCTAGTAAGAGTTTCATGATGTTCCATCAATGAAAGTGTTCTTAAAAAATGTTCTTGCCGGCGCGGTGAATGTGCTGACTCAGGAAGCACGGCATCTTTTCCATAGAGATTTCCTCGACTCGGAGCCTTGTTCATTGTAAAACCAGCAAAATATATCCACTCCGTTCTAATCATTTGGACTTCGGCCCATCGAGTATTCCAAGCAAAGAATATACTGCAAGGTCATCTCAGCTTTTACTACTAGCAGACATAAAATTAATACTAATTGGATAGTAATAGTGTATCGCCTTGTAAAACGGAATGTGAGCTTTCATTGGGGATTCGTAGAAGAAATCCTAATTAATCTGGAAATAATAAAGTCACAACCGACATAGGACTGTGGCCATAGCCCAGTTCCACAAAAACCTTTAAGTCCAGCAGAATTGGTTTGGAATTTGTTTGCACCATTCGTTGACTCCTTAATGGCATAAAAGTAGTACTTGAAAATATGGTGAGTGTGTAAATATTATATATATATATACACACACAAAGACATGCTGGTAGGTGAATTGGCTCCTGTCTAAATTGTCCCTAGTATGTGTATGTATGAATGTAAGTTAGGGACCTTAGATTGTACACCTGTCAGGAATGGACTTGCCAATAGTGGTGGGACTCACCTGCCTTGTGGGCTGCAGTACCAGGGCAGGCCAGCGGGTGCTCTCAACAACCAGAGGTTCACTTCGGCAATTAGCCATCACCTGGGGCTGATTGCAGGTGGTGTATTTAAGGGATGGCCAGACCTGCAGTCTGTGCCTTGGTGTGTGTTTTTCCAGGGGCCCCTGTACCTTGTAACCTGCATTCCTGGTCCTGTTCCTGCCTGACTTGTTGCTGACCCTGCCTGATCCTGACCTCTGCTGACTTCTCCTGTTTTATCCCTGGCTTGTGACCCTGACCATTTTCTCCGCCTGCTCCTCCTGTACCTACCTGCCCGATAGTTATCGACCCGGCCTGCCTGACTACGTTGTGCTCTATATGTGTATGTACCTGTGTATCTAGATCAGTTTAGGTTTGGGTTTGTTTCACCTTGTTGTATGTATTTGTGTCAGCTTGGGGTTTGGTGCACTGCGTTTATATTTGTATTGTTAGTCTTAATAAATTGTCTTGTTTATACCATATCTGGAGCCTGTGTTTCCCTGTGTCAGTACACACATCTCTGGTCACACCCGCATCCCTGACAACACCCCTTGAGGGTTAGGGACTGATGTGAATGTACCAGGGGCGGACTGACAACTCATGGGGCCCCCGGGCAATAGGGGATCATGGGGCCCCTGTGTCCTTGCCCAAACTAAAAAAAGCCTATGAAAAAGGTACCAGGGGCATCTCATTGGGCCCCCTACTGACCCCGGGCCCTCGGGCAGTGCCCAAGTTTCCAAATGGTCAGTCCGCCCCTGTATGTGAGCACTATATAAATACTGAACATACACAATTTTCTGACCAGCATGGCCGTGATATTACAACCAGATCAGAAATCGGGAGTTTTGTGGCGACAGAGAGGTAGAACAGGGTTAATCAGCCCGGCTGTGGGGGCATGGTACTGGATAAAATAGCTGATATATGACTGCAGATCTGCTGACAGAGTCATTGGCCGTGGAATTATAATGAAATTAGGGAGACAGGCGAAGGGAAGTAGAGGAAATTGGGGAAATGGGTTTACGCTGCTGATGATGGTGGGAATGTATCTCCCCCTCTCACACCACCATGGTCATACCTTTGCTCCCGGTAGCTCTTTTAATTCTTCTCATTGGGCTAAAATTGGAGAGGAAATACATATAGGAAGCATTTAAATGTAGCAGGGCCGCTGGCTTTCATTTCCCG